TTATATGCTAGCATATAGGCCTAACCAATGGACAGAGACAACAGGGGGGTGAGGGCATGAGTGGGGGGGATGGGAGTAATGTGGGGATAAGGGCACATATGTAATAACTTAATCAATAAAAAAATTAAAAACAAAACAAAAAATAAAGTAAATAAAAATAAAATAAAAAATAGTAACTATCCAGTAGATAACCTGGAAGACACTACATTAGCCAATTATAGGTTAGGGCAAAAGTATGTTTAGAGAGATGGAGAATGTGTTTGGTTTTCACTCTGTGTATGTTACCATGAAAAGTAATACAATAATAATAAATAATAATATGTGAATAAACTCTGTGTTTTGTGTACTCACAACTGTAAACCTACTTTTTCCAATCCTATATGACATTTTACAATTTTTCTCTATGTTTAAAATAATTTAAAATGTTAAGTTGAAAAATCTTTTGTACCAGCTGGAATAATGCCGAAGAAGAAAGGTGTCCAGGGCATGACTGGAATCAGGGACACTGTCCCCTAGGACTCCAGTCCCTCTGGCTCTTGGACACACAGCTCCCCAAAGGATAGACAGAAATTAGCCAGAAACCTGTGGACTTAGACTTTGTTGCAGTCTCTCATTAATAATTAAGTGTTATCATTGGACTCATTTCTCTAGAGCTGGTTAAGGAAAAGGAAAGTGTGTAGAAGTGTCAAGTCTCCAGATATTTCTTCTGTGTGTCTACATATTAGGTCTCCTGTAGAAAACCTGAGGAGATAGGCAACAGTCTGGAGCAGAAGGTGTCTGAACTCACCAATGATGAGCCCAGGTGAGAGAAGCTGGAAATCTGCACTAGGCGGTGAATCTGCCTGTGCCAGTGGGTTCATGTCTGAGACTCTGAGTCCATGAATTTGTGTGTGTGTCTGCATGTATTGTATATGGTTGTGTACCTGGTATTTAATAGCTGCATGTGTAAGTGTGTATGTCTGTGTGAGCTATGTATCTGACTCAAAGTCCTGTTTTCATGCATGTAGAACAAATTATCACTTCTTGGTGTGTGATGAGGGATTCCTGATTCATGCCTGTCATCATAAACACTGGCCTCACAGCTGAGCATGGGGAGTGAGACTGTTGTCTCTGCAGCTGGACAAGAAGATGCCCGACCTCACCAGGAACCAAGGTCAGGTCAGAGAGGCCTCACATCTCTTCTCAGCAGCATGTACTGGTGCACATGGGAGCTGTGCTGTGGGTGACACACTCGTGTGTGAGAGCTGGAAGGGGTGTTGTTTGATTTTCTCTGTGTGTATGTGACCATGTGTATGTGACCAGGTGATTGGATGTTGTTACTGGTTTAATGACTGCCTGTAACTGAATAGGCTTAACTGCACCAAGTAGACACCCGTCCCTGGAAGGGGATGGTCAGAAGGGTTGAAGCCTGCCTCTCAGTAATAGGAGGGTGTGTGCTACTTGTTATAGTGTGTGTGGCTGGGTGTGCATATGTGCTGTGGTGTGTGTTTCTCGTGGGATTTTTTACAAAAACATTTTTTATTGATTTCAGAGAGGAAGGGAGAGGGAGAGAAACATAGAAACATATGTCTCTATGTTTGATGAGGCAGAATCATTGATCAGCTGCCTCCTGCACACAACCCACTAGGGATAGAACCCACAGATCAGGCATGCACCCTGATCAGAATTGAACCATGACTTCCTAGTTGATAGGTCGACACTTGTCCACTGAGAAACACAAGCGAGGCTCATGTAAGATGTTCTAATAGTGGTCTTGTGTGCTTTTGGTGATGTGTGCACAGCGCTTGAGGTATATATATGTGGTGAGTTGAATGTTACCAACTGAGTCCATAAGTCAGGTGTGTTAATATTATTGTGGGTGAGTGGTCCATCATTGTGTGTTGTGCATGTCTCACTTAGTGTGTTACTTATTATTTGTATGTATGTAGACAAGCGTTTTTGAGCTGAAACACATACTAGGTATTCTTCCCTGAGGACGGGAATGTGGTCACAGGTGACTGGAATCCTCAGCTCAGCAGTGTGTGTGTGTGTGTATGGGTGTATGGGTGTCAGAACTCAAGTATGTCCTTACCTGTCCCCCCTCTGGCACCATTAGCTGAGATAGCCATATGCTAAGCAACTCCCGGTTTCTTGAAAAAAATCTGTTCTCCTTTCTATGTAGCCGAGTGTGAGGGCCCCTCAGATTTTGAAACTTCTTCTTTACATTTTATTTTCTTTTTTAAATGCTTTTCTCTAGGTTTTTTGGTCATTTTTTAAAATTTCCCTTTCCACCTCTTTACTTTTATTAAACGTCCCAGGAAAATAACCCACAGGCTGTGTGAGGTTATTGGGCTGATTCACCATCGAATAGTGGTGAGACCTTGGGAAAGTTACTTAAATTTTGTTCTTAGTTTCCCCAGCTATAAATGAAAAGAATTACACTTCTATTGTGAAACTTACACAGGCTCTCAGTAAACAGTCACTGTGCAAAATACAGTTAATATATTTGAGACTTTATTGTCAATTGGAATATATATACATATATATGAAATTATCTAGTAAGAGGTTTCAGAATTTTGGACAACTTTGAGTCCTCACAGTTGGCCTCCTCTAAGTAAGAAAAAGGATGTTTCCCTGTGTAATAGTTAAGAGCATGTGGATTCTGATCACAAATATACATTAGATAGAACCCCATGAAGTAGCTAATACTCGGTGATTTTTATTATGTAAAAAATGATAATACATATAACAAGTTTTATACATTACATATTACATACATTATACATACAGACATACACATGTGTGTGTGTCCTTCTAGTTCCTACTGCATTGTTGTGTGCCTGGAGAATGTGTATCATTTATGTTTCTATTTCTTAAAAAGTGAAAAATGTGAGAGAACACAAATTCTTAGTGCAGCTGTGACAAGGTTTTAAAATCTGGGAATGTAAGTTTGATGTCTGAATTTAATAAGGAAATGTAGGTAGGTCCTTAGGCCAATATGCAAATGTTGTATTAAATGTTCAACCATATTATGAAAGATAGTTTGTGCACCATTTTGCTTTTGGAGCTGTTCTGGTAGAAAGTGGTTTTAAATGGCACCCATTTGAGAGTGTCCCTGAATTTACAGCTGTGGGTGAGTGAGACCGGGCAGATTCACAGGAGGAGTGTGAAAATGTTCCAAGAAGCCCAACTCAGTCCTGTAGTCTCACGTTATTTTAAGGCACTAAAAACTGATACCAGTATCTGGGGCTCATCTTCTGTTTTTTCCACAGTGAATTTTTAGGATTTGGCTCTGGCCTGGTACAGAAATTATATCAGTCCTTAGAAGAGGTCCCAACACAGACTTGATGTTAAAAGAAATGGTTGAATAAAACAAAAAACTCCTTCTTGCTACAGTGTGATGAGGTCTTGTTGACCACTTTGGGGGCTCAGTGTTGTCCTAGAGCCAGACTAGGAGAGAGGGAAGATGCATACATCCACAGGTGTGAGAAATAAATACAAGATTATTTTAAAATGAATTGTTTTCTCAATAATGACAGTATGAGATGTGATGGCTCTGTTAATCCTTTCTAGGTTCCTGAGATTCCCAACCCTTCTTCATCCCCAGCAGACAGAAGAGCAGCATGAGGCCTGAGAACCAGAGCAGCGTGTCCCAGTTCCTCCTCCTGGGGCTCCCCATCCCGCCAGGGCAGCAGGGCGTGTTCTTCACCCTGTTCCTGGGCATGTACCTGACCACGGTGCTGGGCAACCTGCTCATCATCCTGCTCATCAGGCTGGACTCTCGCCTGCACACGCCCATGTACTTCTTCCTCAGCCACTTGGCCTTCTCTGACATCTCTCTCTCCTCGGTTATTGTCCCAAAGATGCTCATCAACATGCAGACTCAGCAACAATCCATCTCCTACATGGGGTGCATTTCTCAGTTGTATTTTTACATACTTTTTGTTGGTCTTGACAATTATCTCTTGGCTGTGATGGCATATGACAGGTACGTGGCCATCTGTCAGCCCCTACACTACACCACCATCATGAGGGAGAGGCTGTGTGTGCTGCTGGTGGTTGGCTCCTGGATTCTCTCCTGTGTCCATGATTTGTTGCACACTCTCCTATTGGTCCGACTGTCCTTTGGTGCCAATAACATCATCACCCACTTCTTGTGTGACTTGGCTGCTCTCCTGAAGCTGAGCTGCTCAGACATCTCCCTCAATGAGCTGGTCATCTTGACCGAGGGAGGAATGATTTTCTTCCTGCCTTTTGGTATAATTTTGAGCTCTTATATCCGTATAGGGACCATCATCCTGAGGGTGCCCTCCACTAAGAGACTCTTTAAAGCCTTTTCTACCTGTGGCTCCCATCTCTCTGTGGTGTTGTTATACTATGGGACAGCTGCAAGTGTTTACTTTTCCTCCTCATCATGGGGTTCCAAAGACATAATTGCTTCAGTCATGTATACGGTAGTTACCCCCATGCTGAACCCTTTCATCTACAGCCTTAGGAATAGAGATATAAAACAGGCCTTACAGATGTGTGTAAATAGGGTTAAGTTCTTTAATTGGTAAACACTAAATCCTCTTGTTGCAGTCAGGAGCACAGTGAGACAGATCTTCTATAATTATTGTATGTTGACATCTTCATATAATCTTAGAATATGCATTCTCTTGTTATGTACAAGTGCTGTTAATATTCAACTTGGTCAAATTTGCTACTTGGGTTGTTAGTAATTCTTTATTCCCTTGTTCATAATCTCTTATAAGACCTATGCAAAATTTTTTGTAAAATATCTTACACAATTATAATTGTGAGTTTGTATTTTTAGACTGTTTTATTGAAGACTCACTGATTTACCATCATGATCCATTCCTGATTAACTTTTTTAAAAAAACTGATTATTGTTTGCTATCTCCTATTGGCTTCAAGCTGGTTGTGCACATCTCTTCCAACTCACATTCAATGACATCATGTTTGTAGTATTTAATCAGTCATGAGAAGAATAATTACACTATGAAAATTAGCATGTGCTACAAAGCAAGACTTTATAAATGCATTTTTAAAATGAAGTTAATAGCACACATCTAGCAATGGGTCTTACCTTAACACCTCCTCTACTTCTGATATTAGTACATACATATTATAACTAAATCTATAGATAGATAGATAGATAGATAGATAGATAGATAGATAGAGAGATAGATAGATAGATAGATAGATAGATAGATAGATAGATAGATATACAGGTACAGATAAAAATACAGTTAGAGATATAGATACTAGTATAGCATTGGTAGTAAAGATGCCCCTTACTCATGGTTAGTGTTTACATGGTATTATTTCTAACACTTTAAAGTTTGCTACGTCTTTATATCTGTGAGGTGTCCCTCACTAACCATGTGAAGTTGGATTTGCTCTTTTTATGTAAGGCAATGATTATCATATTTGTGGAGAATTTTATCTATTGATATCCTATATAATAAAACCCTAATATGCAAAAGCCAAACAGTGGAACAACCGGCTGAATGACTAGTTGCTATGATGGGCACTGACCACCAGGGGCCTGACGCTCAATCCAGGAGCTGCCCCCAGGTGTTCAGTGCGCTCCCCCATGGCAAGCGCTGCTCAGCCAGAAGCCGGACTCATGGCTGGCGAGTGAAGCAAAGGGATTGGGCCTAAGTCAGCAGCTGTCATCCCCCAATGGGTCCTGGACTGCGGGAGGGCGCAGGCTATGCTGAGGGACCACCCCCCTCGTGCAAGAATTTTGTGCACTGGGCCTCTAGTCTAATATAATCATAATATATCTAAATTTATATTTTGCATATTGCTGATTTTATTTGATATACCTGCTTTACAGTTATTGTCTCTTATCTTCCTCCCTTTTGATTAATCAAATATATATTTTATTCCATTCCTCATTTACATATTGATCATTTATTATTATGTTTTTGTTGTTGTTGTAATTCTTTTATATGCTATATATAGAAATTACCTCTTACTTACTCTTTAATTTTTAATTATAGTTTAATATACAAAACAAAATTTATCATGTTAGCCATTGGTGGTAAACAATTGGGTGGCATTTAGGACACTCAACACCAATATCTCATAGTAGGACCAGTAAAGAAAACTCTATGGAGCATCAATGAAATTTAGTATTTTGCTACTGGGAAAAATATAAGAACAGAGATATTTATGAATCAATATGAAGAAATAGGATATATTGTTAAATTTTAAAAAGCAATGTGCCCTAGCTGGCTTGGCTCGGTGGAAAGAGTGTCAGCCTGCGGACTGAAGGGTCCCAGGTTGCTTCCAGCCAAGGGCATATGCTTGAATTGCGGGCTCAATCTCCAGTAGGAGGCATGCAGGAGGCAGCCAATCAATGATTCTCTCTCATCATTGATTATTCTATCTCTCTCTCCTTCTCCCTTCCTCTCTGAAATCAATAAAGAAATATATTTTAAAATAAATAAATAAAAAGCAATGTGTAAAAGAGCATTTATACCATGCTACATGTCATGTAAAAATGAAGGGGAAGTAAAATATTCATATATATGTCCATTAAAACATAATGAAACACAGGAAGTAGTTAACATCTGGAAACAGCCCACGTGCCCATCCGTAGATTAGGAATAAAAAAACCTAAGGGACATTTATACAATGGAATACTACTTGGCCAACAAAAAGGAAAAACTTGCTTTTGAGACAGCATGGATGGACCTGGAAATTATTATGCTAAGTGAAAAATGCTAGCCAGAGAAAGACAAATACCATAGAATCTCACTTATATGTGTAATATAATTGTCAAAATAATGAAAAAACAAAATAGAAACAAAAGCATATATACATAGAGTAAACTGACAGCTGTCAGAGAGGAGGTGTTAAGGAGGGCTGGGTGAAAAAATGATGAAGGAATAAAGCAAGAAATAATATATATCACATGTAGACATGGAAAACAGTATGGTGAGTGACAGAGGAAAAGGGGTTTTGGGGAGGAGGTGGAAGTGAACAAAGGGAGGATCAAAGGAGAGGGAAAGAGATATGAGTTTGGGTGGTAAGTGCACAATGCAGTATGCAGATGTTGTTTTATTTAGCTGTACACTTGACATCTGTATGGTTTTATTAAACAACTAGAGGCCCAGCAAGCAATTGAAATTGCGCAAGGAGGTGCCCCACCTCCGGCCTCCTGCGGCTGTAAGGAGACGCCCTGCCTCCCGCCTCCCACCACTATAAAGAGGTGCCCCACCTCCTGCCTCCTGTTTCCAGCTTCGCGAGGAGGCGCCCCGCGGGGCGTCGGGCCCCAGAGGTGCTCCATGAACTTCATGGTGACCGGTCGTTTGGTCGTTTTGGTCGTGACACCTCTTGGCCTTTCAGCAAGCGATTGAAATCGCGCAAGGAGGTGCCCCACCTCCCGCCTCCTGTTTCCAGCTGCACGAGGAGGCGCCCCGCGAGGTGCCGGGCCCCAGAGATGCTCCATGCACCTCATGGTGACCGGACGTTTGGTCGTTTTGGTCGTGACACCTCTTGGCCTTTTATTATTATGATGTCAGTAAATGACATTGTAATCTAGAGTAGACTGACAGCTGTCAGAGGGGAGGGGTTAGAATTATTTGTGTCCTTTTGACTATGTTGTCTTTTTCCACTAAAAATAAATAGAAGAGGTGGTGAAAAAGCAAAATAGAATAAAACAAGATAAGTGAACCTAATTATAATCCTATTATACACTGTAATTACACCAAAGAGGAAAATAAAATAAGTACCCTAAGTAATTATTGAACTCAGAATTATGACTATATACTCTCACAATAAAAAAACAAACCTGACAACAAAGTTTTTTTAAGCTGTTAGTGTGTCATTGACAGTGGTATGAGTCAAGATACTGAAACAACTCACCATGTATCCAAAGACTCAGCAAATAAGTAAACAATGAGGAAAAGGGAGACCCTCTGTCTCCAGGGAGCTCTGTACATGGAAAAGGAGAGGCTAGAAAGAACTCTATGGTGCAAAACTATATTTGGAGATATCAGTTAGAAATCATGGGCTTTAAAATGTATAAATAGATTGCAAGTTATAGGTCATATATCAATATCTATGCTGTTTCCATCTCCCATTCTTCCTGTCCCACTCGTGACACACTTGCTCTGCGCAAAAATTCCTTTAGCTTCTTCGTTTCCAGTTTCTGCTTCTTGTTTTTCTTTTACATATATTTCCCAGTAAGCTTGTCTGAGATCATTTAGAATCCTTGTAGGCAATAAGCACAACTAAAGCTTCAAAACCAATAATAATGATAAAAGATTATAACTCAGAGAATAAGAATCTATGAGTCCATAATGACATAAATGAATAAATAAAAAACTAATGAGAGGGGGAAAGAGTAATTTTCTTCTAACAAGAGAATACAAGTAATTAATCTAGAATAATGGAATTATAAATAGCACAATTTGGCAACAACGTTTGCAATAATTTTCTCATATAAGAATCACCAATGGATTTCACATATAGTGAGTTGAAATTTTAGTAAAGGAAATGTTATGTTTGTATAGTATCAAAATATCTACCTAAATGATACCTATTAATTACAAGTTTAGAATACTAACTTAAAAAAATAGTAACTTTCCAATAGATAACCTGGCAGACACTACATTAGCCAATTATAGGTTAGGGCAAAAATATGTTTAGAGAGCTGAAAAGTGTGTTGTTTGGTTTTCTCTCTGTGTATGCTACCATGAAAAATCCTATATAATGAAGAGGTAATATGCAAATTGACCATCACTCCAACATACAAGATGGCCACCCCTATGTGGTCAAAGATGGTCGCCCCCATGTGGACACAAAATGGCTGCCACAAGATGGCTGGCAGGGGAGGGAAGTTGGGGGCGATCAGGCCTGCAGGGGAGGGCTGTTAGGGACAACCAGGCCGGCAGGGGAGGGCAGTTAGGGGTAATTGGGACAGCAGGGGAGCAGTTTGGTATCAAGCAGGCTGGCAGGGGAGTGGTTAGGGGGTGATCAGGCTGGCAGGCAGAAGCGGTTAGTGGCAATCAGGCAGGCAGGCAGGCAGGTGAGTGGTTGGGAGCCAGCAGTCCTGGATTGTGAGAGGGATGTCTCAGATTTGAGAGGGTGCAAGCTGGGCTGAGGGAAATACACATACACCCCTTGTGCATGAATTTTGTGCACTGGGTCTCTACTAATACAATAATAATATGTGAATAAACTCCATGTTTTGCATACTCAGAACTGGAAACCTACTGTTTTCCAACCCTATATGGCATTTTACAATATTTCTCTATGTTTAAAATCATTTAAAATATTAATTTGAAAAAATATTAAGTTGAAAAATCCTTTTTCTCAGCTGGAATGATGCCCAAGAAGAAAGGCGTCAGGGCATGACTGGAATCAGGGACACTGTCCCCTAGGGCTCCAGTCCCTCTGGCTCTTGGACACACGGTTCCCCAAAGGACAGTCAGAAATTAGCCAGAAACCTGGGGACTTGGACTTTGTTGCAGTCTCTCATTAATAATTAAGTGTTATCATTGGACTCATTTCTCTGGAGCTGGTTAAGGACAAGGAAACTCTGTAGAAGTGCCAAGGCCCCAGA